TGGGGGGACATGGGTTTTCAGCTGACGTGGCCCCGTGCCCAGGAGTGGGGCTGCCGGGTCACAGCTAGCTCTGCCTGGCCGTCCGAGGCACTGCTGGATTCTTCTCCCAAAGCGGCCGCACCGTCTTACATCCCCGCCGGCCGGGCGGGGCGGATCGTGTTTATCAGCTGAAATAACACCTCTGGTCCCACAGCCCGGTCCGGCCAGCACCCCATTCTCGTGCCTCTGCACCCCTGTACGGCACAACTGAAAATAAATGGCCTCCATTACTCACTTCCAATTTCTCACCTCCAGTTTCCCCTGGGGCCCCTGACTAGGAGACTCTGTCCCCGGCACTCCACTGAAACAGCTCCTGGCGGGATCGCCAGCGGCCCCTCCCTCTGTGGCTACGTGTGCCAGCCGTTTCCCGGTTGCATTACCTGGTCTCTCTGCAGCTGTGGGCTGGCCGTTCCCTCCTCCTTGGAGCACCTTCTCCTTTTTGTCTCTGGATGGACGCCTCCCTCCTCTGCCTCCTCCCTCACGGGCGCTCTCTCCCGCAACCTCTCAACCCCGGGACCCCACTGTTCGGGGTCCAGACCTCCCCTCTGTCCACTTTCGCTCTCACAGTGCCTGTAACCAGTCCTCGACTTTAAATTCTTGGACTCCCAAACTTACACGTCCACCCAACCCGCACACTCCTGTACCTAACCACCCGCCCAGCATCTCCACCCACCAACCGGCTGCGGCCAAAACAGTGCTCCCTACAAACCCGGCTCCTCCCACCGTCCTCCCTGTGTCATCCATGTCAATCCGCCCTCCTTGCTGCTCTCGGGCAAAAGACCTTGATGTCATCCTGGGGCCCCGCCCCCTGTCACGGCTCACAGCCAATCCAACAGCGACCCTGCCTGACGTCACTGCCTTCACAAGCCCATCGCCACACCCAGGCTCCCACCGCGGGCACCACGCACCCAGAGTGAATTCCAGCCCCTGGGTGAATTCACCTGGAGGCCGCCTTCCAGCAGGTCTCCCTGCTACGCCCTGGACCCCTCAGATTCTCCATGGCAACCAGAGCGACCCTTAGGAGACGAAGTCAGAGCAAGTCACAGAGCAGATGGCTCCAGCGGCTCCCAGAACAAACTCCAAAGGCCTTGCCTGGCCCACAGACCCTCAGGATCTGCTCCCCACAGCCCCTGGTCTGCACGTCCGACCACCTACCCCTCCACTCCAGCAATGCCAGCCGCCCTGCATGCACCAGCCACGTCCTATCTCAAGGCCTTTCGTTTGTCCTCCGTGTCTGCAGGGGAACCTGGCACCTCCACACAGCCACACCACGGCCTGCTCCCTCACCTCCTTCGGTCTCCCCGCAAACGTCGCCTCCTCAGCGAGGCCTCCCTGAGCACGTTGTCTAAAGCAACCCCTCCCCCAGCCCTTCTGGCTCTGCTTCATTTCCCTCCTCACCCATACCCCCCAGCACCTCCTTCGTCTTGCACTGTCTGTCTCCCTCCACGAGCACCCAGGCTGCCCAGCGGCCGGGAAGTCCGCCTGCTGTGCTCACGGCCGGGTCCCAGGCCCCCACCAGTGCCCAGAACATCCCAGGCACTCGGTGAACCTCTGCCGCAGGAGGCAACACATGAATGACAGTCATTTGGGCTGCTTTCAGTCTCTTGCTACTAAAACAAAATGCTGTAATGACCCATACTGGGCACAGGTCACTTTGCTTGTGGGTGAGTCTGTCGGCGGGACAAGTACCCGGAAGTGGAATCGCTGGGCCGGAGGGCAGGAGCACCGATCATTGTGATGACTGTTCCCTCGAATTTTTGAGAGCTAAATATACCATCACCCACCGAGTTGTGTTGAGCAAACCACACGATTAATGGCAGGGCGCAAACCCCCACACTGACTTGGGTTTTAACTGGACGGGAACAAGAAATCAGGACAGAAATGGCTTGAGGAATTTGAGAAGCCCATTCGCCATTAACATGAGTCCAGGTCCCATCCAAAATGCTAGTGGCCATCGTGGTATCCTGACCATGGGGCATCTGTCATGCTCAGCAACTGCCTGGAGTCATGGACAGGAAGTCTGGGTCCTATGGCCTCGACTGCCTCTGCTGTCGGAAGGCTTTGTGGGAGGAAGAAAAGACTTTACGTCCAGGGCACTCAGCACGCCCGCAGAGAGCCTGTGCTTCCCTCAGGGCGCTGAGACGCCCTGGCCGAAAACCTTCTTGGCCTCTGCCATGGCTGCCCAATGTCAAGGCCCCTGTCATGTCCCCTGTGGCCGGTGGCAGTGGGGCAGGGCACAGCCCGGGCGGCTGTGTGCACCCCCAGCCCTGACACTCGGTGGCACCAGTCCAGGGCGGGAACTCGCAACAGTTCCAGGGGTCCTCCCGTCTCCCTGTCCTGTCCTGGACCTGGCCCAGCCCCGCCCCGCCCGGGCTGTCAGACAGCTGCTTCTGGGAGCAGGCCTTGTGCAGACGGCGGGAAGGATTCGTCGACAGGAACCTCCCCCAGACATCGCTGCTGGCCTCACCTGCCTCGGACAGTGACACAGGCTCTGGTCCTGGATGGAGGACGTCCCCTAAGGCCCGCAGGCCCCCCTTCCCTGCTGAACACATCCCCCCAGGGTCAAGGGCAGGGGCTGCCCCACAGAACTGTGCGGTAGGCAGGGTCTCGGGATGGGCCCACAGATTCCATCCAGACGGAAAGTCACAAGAGCTAAGTGGGCCAGGGGCCACACCGGCCGGGTCCCGGTGGCCTGGCTCCTCCAGGGCCTTCTGGACTTAGTTCCTTATCCTTCATCTCCGAAAGACTCCGGCCTATGCAGGTGCACAAGTGCTATTACACGGTTTCCCCCAACACCCAGGAGGGGGGTTTGGAAAGGGCAGCCCCCTGCTATTCAAAGTGCACCCCTACCACCTGTGCCCACCTGCTCGACAGTAACGGAAGTCTAATGGACCGGGGCAGCGTGAGTGGAGGCCACCACTCTGCAGAGCAATTTGGCCAACACCTCCTGGAGCTGGAGATACGCCCACCCTTTGGGATGGCAATTCCACTCCTGAATACATATGCCCTAGAGAGACCTGTGCACACGAAGACCTGAGTAACCATGGTTACCATGGCATTGTTAGCAATGGTGAGCACTGGAACAATAAACTTAGAAATGAAAAAAAAAAACAACCTTAGTGTGGTGCTACAGTGGAATACTATGTAGGAGCAAAGATGGATGCACTAGGCTACATATGTTTGTATAGCTAAACCTCAAAAAAGACTACTGGACGGCCCTGGCTGGTGTGGCTCAGGGGAGTGAGTGCCAGCCTATGAACCGAAAGGTCGATGGTTCGATCCCCAGTCAGGGGGCATGCCTGGGTTGCAGGCTGGTTCCCAGTTGGGGGCACTCGAGAGGCAACCACACATTGATGTTTCTCTCTCTCTATTTCTCTCTCCCTTCCTCTCTCTCTAAAAATAAATAAATCTTTGCATATATATAAAAAAGATGTTTCCAACAGCCTCTGATTCAAATAGGGAGCAGTGCGTGTGCAGGGACGGGCAGCCGATGCCACGATTTGGTTCCCTTGCTCCTGGAATTCGACGCCAGGCCTTCCTAGCACCACGGGGGGCCCTCTGGGGGCCTGTGCGCATCGCCGCATTTATGACCACCTCCAGAGCGTGTCGTTTCCTCGTGGATTCAGCAGAGTGTGACTGAGAGACTCAAGTGTGGGCGTCAGACTGACTCTAGGGACAGAGTTGAAGTGATTCATAAACCAGCGTGCTTCCTCCTCATGGCCGGCAGCCCCTGAAGAAACCAGGTTTGCACTATCTTCCCTCGTCAGACACCTCGTGTTCACAGCAACCCGGGGCCAGCCACGTGGCCCGCTCATGCCTCTGGAGATTCACCAAGGGCCTTATAAAGTGGACCTCCGTGGCTGTTCCCATAGAAACCTCAGAAGTAACTTCCCAGCATGCTGAGGGCCGGTGTCTGCCGTCGGGTGTATAGGGAGCAAGTGCGTCCTGCCCAGCACCACCCACCAGAGGGAGCAGGGAGGGGATGGGGACTCCTCGCCCTGTGTCACCAGGATGCACTTTCTGTGTGAGTGTGTGTGTGTGTGTGTGTGTGTGTGTACACGTGAGACACAGCACTACTGAGGGCCAAGGTCGGGGGCCTCAACCTTGCAGGCTTCTGACCTGTGCGCGTGGACTGGAGTGTTGCCAGGCCCTGCCGGTGGCTGATCTGTCAGCTGGCATTTGAAGGTGGACTTCCCAGCCTGCCCAGCGGGGTTGCTAATTACATGGCTCGGGGCACCTTGAAGGACATCCCAGCTTGCGCTGAAATTCTCTTACTCCTCAGGGACTGGCTCAGGCCAGCCGTGCCCAGAGGTCTCAAGGGGAACCACCTGGCAGGGGCACATGGCGGGCAGAGACCTCCAGCAGGAACCCTGGGTGACCACCTTCGGGACACCTGTGCGGCAGGCCCGGGAGAGGGGCGCAGTGGTCCTGCTCGGCCCCTCCCTGGGCTTCTGGGAGGACGGAATCAGAGGAGATGTGGATGGATTCTGTGAGGGCACTAACCATGCGATCTCTTATCCCTACAGTGACATTGCTCCCCTGATCCGGGTACAGGCTGGGATTCCCGGGGGCAGCTTCCCTGTCCTAGGCACCTTGGTTTCTGCTGTCCCAGACGCGTCCCCTGAAAGCCCCACCCGCCCCCCGTCCCTGAGCCCCAGCCAACCCTGACGCCCCCCACGGCCTCAAGCATGCCCAGTGCTTTTCCACACTCTTGCCCACATGGGCCCTTTGGCCGCACTGTCCCGCCGCTCACAGAAACCCTATCTGCTCCTGGAGGCTCAGCTCACCCATCACCTCCTCCCTGAAGCTTCTTCTGGTCTCACCCAAATGAACACGATGTCCTTCTCCTGGGACGCCCACGGCAGGGCCGAGGCTCCGCCTCCAGCACACCCCTCCAGGGCCTGACGCACAGTGGGTCCCCCCCACGAGCGCAACAATGCCAGAGGCCGCCGGGCGCCTACCTTGGGGGTGAACATGTGCAGGATGCCGTCGATGGCGCCTCGCAGCAGCAGCCCCCGGACCAGGAAGCAGGCCAGCACCACGTAGGGGAAGAGGGAGCTGAAATACATCACCTGCGGAGAAGACAGGGACCCACCACGGGGCCGGCCCCCCCTCAGCCGCCAGCTCCCTCCCTGCTCACAGCTGGGGCACACGGGCCTCCTCTGATAGCTGCAGAAAGCAGAGCCCCGGGACCCCCGGGCACGGGGCCAACCCCACCACCCGCCCGCCTGGCCCAGAGCCAAGGCAGAAACAGGAGCGCGGAAAAGCCGGAGTCAGCAGGGCTGGGCCTGGGGCTGCCTTTCTCCTTGCAGGGGCTGGCTGGGCTGGGCCCCAGGCCTCCCTGTCCCCGAGGGCCACCAAGGGGGCAAGGAGCCCTTCGCTCCCCTTCCTCACTTTTTTCCACGTCCCTGGCTCCCCCCTGAGGATCTCCCCTGTCCTCAGAGCTCCTCTGACAGAAGGCAGCCAGGAGGTCGCAGTCAGGGCTCCCAAGCCAAAGATCAGAAGGAGGTCCTGCCTCTCGAGGTTATAAATCGTACCCCATTTTCCAGCATGTGTGTTTCTTGCGCCTTTGAATGTCCCCACGTGCCTGGCACAGAGTGTCACACAAGGAAGACACACACACACAGTGTCTGCAGCACCGAAACGGATCGGGAGGGCTGCTTGGGCCCGGTGGGGTGCAGTCAGGGGCGTGGGTGTCTGCAGAGCGTCCGTGTCTGCAGCCAGACCACCTGTGTTCTCCTGGCTCTACCACTTACGGAGCACATGACCTTGGAGTATTTACTTAGCCTCAGCTTGCCTCCTTCTCTTCATCTATAAAACGGGCACAATAACTCCTAACTCAAAAAGTCACTGTGGACCAAATGCATGCCGACACTGGTAAGGGGCACAGAGCGTGGGCTAGGGTCCTGGCCCTCAGAGAGCGCAGGGGCGGTGGCTGAGGCCACGCCACCGTTCCAAGGCTTCCCTGCTCGTCGAGTCTGGTAAAGAGCCTGGGGCCCAGACAGACAGCCAGGGCGCTAACTCCAGCCCCGAGGTGGACAGACTGGCCGCGTGATCTAGGCAAGCTGCTTCCCCCTCTCTCGGCCACCTTTCCCTCTTCTGAAAAACGAGCGGACTGGGCGACAGGACCGCTAGCGCCCTTTCCGGCCCCGCAGTCCACACACACCGACACATGACAGAGGAGCATGAGCCCTTATCTGAAGGAGATCCGACTGTGGGGAGGAGTGAGGGCCTCGGCTGGTCTGCACCCGCAGAGACCCGTGTGGAGCCCCCTCAGGGGGGCGACAATACTGCAGCAGGGACTCTCCATCCCACCCTTGGGGGGCCTGTGTCCTCACCCTGAGTCACCCAGAGGCCAAGTCCACCCACGGGACCCTGCGAGGGGCAGCCCAGATTTCTCAGGCCCCCGCTCTCCCTACTTTTCGCAGACTTCTGGGGTCTGGCTGCCCCTCCCACTCACCTTCCCTGAGGACTGGATGCCCTTGACGACGGCCAGGCCCACAATGGTCCAGGCCACGAGGAGGCACAGGGTCATCTTCCAGTTGAGGCCGCCACTCTCGGAGATGGAGTTGGAGATGTCCAGGGCCTCTCGGTACCAGAAGTAGGTGGTGGCTGAGCTCTTCTCGCACTCGGTCTCCACCACTGTGCCAGCAGCAGAGGTCTCAGCGGCGGGGCCGCAGGACCCGCGCCCCTGCGGGCCCCCACCCGGGCAGCAGTGGGTGAGCGTGCAGCAGGGAGGGGCTGGGCCTGCGCTGCGTCGGCCACCAGGGCACATCGACCTCAATTCCCACTGATGCCACGCCCTGTCCACATCCAGGCAGCAAGGGTCAGGTGGCCCCGGCCCCTGGTTCTTCAGGAAGGGCCTGAGCTGGGAGCTGACGGCCTGGGTTCCCATCCCCTGGTTAAATTGGTGGTCTGACCATGGGAGAGTGGTTTCCGGGCCTCAGTTTACCTGCCTGTGAGTGGGACGAATCGCCCAGCCTTTTACGGAAACAGCACACAGATTGAGGCCGTTTCCAGAGAGGAAGGGGGCATGGTCAGAGCAGAGCAGTGGGCAACAGCTAGAGAAAAGCTGCCATTTCCAGAGCTTCACCTGCACTCACTAGCTGGTTCAGTCCCCATCAGACTCTGGGGGGCAGGCTGGTGAGCGGGCGCCCGAAGGGGCAATGTGGATCAGAGAGGGTGGGTGTCTTATCCGAGGTGACACAGCGCTCAGTGCAGCCCTGAAGCCGTGCCGAAGCCCCCTCGGCTCACCTGGCTCCCTCCCGGGACAGGGCCGGCTGGGGTCCCTGGCTGGTGACACTCGGGGGGCGGGGGGAGCCCGTACTTGCCTGCCACGGTCCCATTCCTGATGACAGGGCACTCGCTCCAGGGCAGCGGGTACTGGAAGGACTTGAAGAAGTAGAAGATGCTCCAGCCGATAATCACGTTGTAATACAGCCCGACGAAGAGGCAGACCTGGGGGCGAGGGTCCGTGCCAGGGGTCACGGAGGCGGCAGGGCACTCCCCGGCCCATCCCCCACCCCACCCAAGGCTCAGCACCAGGCGGACCGCACACGGAACACAGCACAGCCTCGGAGGAGGAGGAGGGACGAGACTGGGCAGCCGGAGACCCCTCCTGACCCTCCCACCACCCGGTATTCAAAGAATCCAGAGAGGAATGTTTCTGATATTAAAGTTCTCTCCTTTAGGCAATACACTCTTAACACGTTCATTGTTTCCAGTGTGAAATCCTTCTAAGATGCTCTAAAGCACTTCCCCATCCTTGGCCGATGCCTCAGCATCACAGCTCCAGAGCTGCCCCGGGACCCTGGGGACACGCACGGCGTCAGCCTCCGTGGTCAGCTACCCCCAGACTGCGGTGCTTTTCGAGGTTTTCTGGATGCTTCTCATTGGCTCCCTGGGCCCTCTCTGCTGTCGGGACACTCCTCTCCCTCGGCACTGCCCGCGGCCCACCGTCGGCGGGGGGCGTCGTGCTCGTGTTCCGGAAGCACGGTAACTAACGTGGGGGGGACGGACTGAGGGTCCAAGGTGCTGCCCTGCAAGCAGTGCTTTCTGGTGCACGGATCTGCTGCAGGGACGGCGGCAGGTCCCTTCTGCCTTCCGGGGCCCGGCTGTCCTACCCATCGGTGACACTGCCGGTCAGTGTGACAGCTGAGGGCCCCTGGCCTTGTCGATGTCACCTGCACCCTGGCGTGCAGGGGCAGACACCCTACAGTATCCTTTAGGGGGTACAGAGGAAGAGGGCCCCCACCACCTTTACTGGCTGTTTTCAGTCTAAGCAGGGACCCCACTCAGCCACGGCCAGCCCAGCAGGGGGCCATACTCGGCCGTGTTCCCGTGCACAGGTGACACTGGCAGAGAGGGGTGGCTGCACAGACCCTCCTTGGCTTCTGCCTGAGCCAGGGTTGGGCAGGCCCTGCGGCCACGCCCGACGGAATCCTCCGTCCCGTCCAGAGGCAGGTCCCGGTTTTGAGCCCAGGTGTGAGCGTGGGCCCCTGTGCGCTCTGCCCCAAGGGAGCTCGGTATCGCCACCTAGAGTGCTAAACCAGGCCCTGTGGATGGGCCGAGGCCCTCATGACACTCCCCACCCAGGGGTCTCCCTGCCTCCCACTGTTCCCAAGCCTCACCGGTCCCGGGCGGGTCCTGTTAGAGCCACCCTCCGGCTCTGCTCACACGCGCAGCCAAATGGCCGGGAGACCCTGTGCCACCCACGAGCCCAGCTGAAACGCCCTTTGACCAAGGACAGAGAAAGGGCCTCCCTTGTGGGAGCTGACGGGCGGGCAAGCAGAGCGTGGTCTCCAGGGTGGTCTCCCTGTCCCCAGAGAGCTCCAGCAGAGGTGTCCCAGGGACCCCCTGGGCTCACATCCCCCCTTTTCCTCTCAGTGACACCCCCAATTTAGATCCCGCTTCAGGCCGTGGAGCCAACTTTCGGTTGAGGGCATCCGTGGTCCCGAGTCGCCCGCCAGCTGGGAGCAGTCCTCATGTGGGGGGGGGGGGTGCCTCCCTGCCCTCAGCCTGGCCCGGGACTCCGGCCTGCAGACCCTGTGCCCCAGAGCCGCGTCCCCCCACCCCCCAGGAAGGACGTGCCGGGGCCAGCCCCCGACTCACGATGCAGCTGGAGAAGCCGATGCCCCCCAGGCGGGGGCACACGTAGTGCCACACGCCGATGCTGCCCCGGCGGATCCTCTGGCCCACCGCCAGCTCCAGGAAGAAGAGCGGGATCCCGATGACGATCAGCAGCACCAGGTAGGGCACCAGGTAGGCACCTGTGGGGAGGGAGGGGCGTCACAGGGTGTCCGGCCATGGCGCAGTGTCCTGCCCACCTCTCTGGTCGTCTCGAGCTGTCACTGGTCCTTGGGCTCCTCGGGAACGGTCTGGCTCATACCTGTGACGACTCCCCCGACCTGAAGCACTGAGGGAGGATCCAGGCGTGCCGCAGTGCCTCCCGCTTACAAGGCTGGACCCACAGGCAGGCAGGCAGGCGGGTGGGCAGGCTCCGTCCTGCCTCTGAGAACCCACACGTCAAGTCACACGCCACAGACACACTCACCTCCTGATCTACTCTGTGGACCTGCTCACAACCCCTGCCACCCACGGAGCCTCGGCCCAGAGGGAGTGGGCCCCCCAGAGGCACAGGCCCCGGGCAGAGCCTTCCCCGCCTCTGTGCCAGTCGCAGCAGGCGGGCAGCCCCGGCGAAGTGGGGCCTGGAAGCTCTCCAGGGAGAGGGGTCTGACCAGCGTGGCCAGGAATCTACAGCTACCCGGGAGGGACGGGAGGGAAATGAGCGGCTCAGGAAGGCGGCGCTGAGAGGATCATACAGGACAGAATGGATACCGCCAAAGATTCCAAAGGATAAATTAAACTCGCTGTCCTGGGCCTCGCTGCACACACAGTCTCATTTCCAAGTGACAGGGCATTTAGCAGGAGAATTAAAACCGAGTCTGGACACGGTCGAGCGCCCCCCAGAGAGCTGTGCCAATGACTCAGTCCTGTTAGCAGAGCCGCTGGCCCAGCCCTGCCTGTCCATCAAACGGCATCAGGCCAGCGCGGTCACCAGTGTCCTGCTGGTCGCCCCAGGCCATGCCCTGCGAGCTGAGAGTCCCCAGGAGACCCTCCAGCCACACCGCTCTGCCCCAGACAACACGACGGCCCACATGCTCCCCAGTGTGTGCTCGGCCTGCCCACAAACCCAGGGCGGGGGTCGGCACCTTCCAGGCATAAGACCCAGCCTTGGCCACTGTCAGGTGTTGGCCACCCCGCACCAGGCCCACGCAGGGAGGGCACGTCAGGACAACGGAGGGCTCAGGCGCTCTCCTGGGCGAGCTGGCAGGTCCTTCAGACTCACGTGAGCAGTGTCAGCACACACGTACACACACACACACACATACACACGCACGTCACACAGAACCAGCTCAGCACACACGCGCTGAGAGGCCGAGAGAGCCCATTGGGAAAGGTTTCCCGGGGAGGCAGCCCACTGAGCCCACACAACAGCCTCCAGCTCACACACACACACACACACACACACACACACACACAGTCACGTGCACGCACAAATTCCACACGTCACCAACCAGCAGCCCCAGAGGCCGTGGCGCTAAAAGGAGGGAAGGTCCGTCCCTGCACCGCGTCCTGGCTCTCGGCCTTGGGCCAGGGAAACGGAAGGGAGAGCGGTGACCTGCGGGGCAGCAAAGGGCCACGGCCTGGCTGGCTCCGAGTTTCGCCCGAGTGGCCTTGGGTGGGCCAGGCGTTTGGGGAGTGGGCGTCAGGGCGTCGGAGGAGGCGGTTGACTTCTTCTCCAGGTGCGCCTCTCCCCTCCCGAGAGCCAGGAGAGCCTCCAGGTGCGCACAGTCCAGAGAGGGGCCTGCAGCAAGGACCGGCCACCTGCCACCCGCCACCCACCACCCTTCACTCAGGCCCATCCACCTCCGCTGGGCTCCAGGGTGCTGCCTTGATACCGGTCTCTGCAGCGGGCAGAGGCCTCACCCACCGGAGGGCCCGGGGGATGCGGGCTGGGTGGGCAGGATTTCTGGGTAATCAGAGGTACTTTTTTCTATCAACCTTTGTTGAGATCACTGGTAAATGCACCCTCTTCCACCCCCAGAAAATACAAGTTAGGGACACACTGGACTTCCTTTGAGGTTCCTGAACCGCGGGAGCCTCGGGCCACCCCGCTGAAGGGCAGGAGCACCGCTCAGGGTTAGGGAGTTTAGCGGAGGATGGCTGCGGGGACCGGCTCTGGAGGTCTCCTGGATCTCACACCATCACTGACAGTCTATGTCTCAGCCTACACTTGGGGTCTCGTTTCTGGCCAACCCTGAGGTTATTTCTGGGATTGGAAAGACTGCCTTGGGCTCTGGTTGGTGTGGCTCAGTGGAGTGAGTGCCAACCTGAGAACCAAAAGGTCACGTACCTGGGTTGCAGGCCAGGTCCCCAGTAGGGGGTATGCATAAGATAACCGCACACTGATGTTTATCTCCCTCTCTTCCCCTCTCTCCAAAAGTAAGTAAATAAAATCTTTAAAAAGAAAAAGAAAGTGGTCTCAGCCTGTTGAGATGCATACTGAGCAGGACGGGCTGCGACCCCGGGCAGAAGGGGCGTGATACTGCAGTAAGACCTTGTAGGGGGATTCGAACTCAGGGCCCCCCTACCTGGGAGGCAGTATATGTGGGGACTGCATGCTCAGACTTGGGGCCACGCTGTCCCGGCTTGCATCCTGACTTTATCACTAGCTGTGTGACCCTGAGCAAGTCATTGAACCTCTCTGTGCCTCAGCGGCGCAGTCTCTAAAATGAGGGTGATACTGACATGGGGTTGCTGGGGCATCCGATGGTTGATGGTTGAACCGTAGGAGACTAGTGCTTTGATCGTTTCAAGATGCTCAAGTATCGGCGGTTTCGTCTATTTCAGCCTAATAACACCTAGTAAATACCTAGGACGGTGCCTGGCGCCGCCTAGTAAGTGTTTAATCATAACGGCCCGAAGCTGCTCCCTACAGTGTGTAAGATCCCGTGCTCAGCATGCCTCATGTCAACCTGCTTTCGTCCTCCCAGCCACCCTGCTCAGGTGGGAATCACTATTATCCTCATTGTGCATGCGGACGAGGTGCAGAGCGAGACGCCGCACCGCAGACTGCTGACTGCAGGACGGGGACTTGAACCCCAGCCGGCCAGGATCTCAGTAGGTCTCAGCGCTTAGCAAGTCCTGGGGAGCCTCACTCTCATCCTGAGCCCCGGCCTGCAAGGGTTCCAGTTCCGCCTCGGACAGGGGGTGTTCCTCGTCGCCCCTCAGCCCAGCCGATTGGCAGGGCACCCCGCGGCCCGCCGGCCCGCCGCTTACCGCCTCCGTTTTTCTGGCACAGGTAGGGGAACCTCCAGATGTTGCCGAGGCCCACGGAGAAGCCGATCTGGGCCAGGATGTACTGCAGCTTGCTGTTCCAGGCCGGCCGGTCCTCGGCGTCCAGCTCCTCGTCCACTGCCTGCTTGCCGCCCACCCCGCCCGCCACATTCAGGACGCTCTGCTTGTAGTCCACGGGCTCCTCCAGGGCCAGCAGGTCGGCCACCGACTCCGTGACATGCTCGTTGCTGTGCTCGCGCTGGGTCACCTTGCTGTTCTTCGGCATCGGTGCCACCGGGGCCGCGCGGCCCTGCTGCCCGGTGCGCAGAGAAGGCGGGACCCGGCTGTGGTCAGCTGCTTCTCATCCGGGACCTGTGAAGCCAGGCGGGTGGGAGAGGGTTAGCTGGCCAGCCCAGAGGGGTGAGAGGCTCAGGCGGGCACAGCCGAACCACCCCCTTGTCACGCACGCGGGGCTGGTCGGTGGCGTGGAATACTGGGCTGGCCTGTCTCCCTGTCAGGGGTGTCCCCCGAGGAGCCCGGGGTCTGCAGCCTCAGTTTCCCCCCAGGCCTTCTGGGAGCATCAGTAGAGGGCAAATCTGATGAGGCCGAAGAGGCCACAGCAGACACCAAACCCCAACCCGAGGCCGCCCATGGAGCCGTGTTCTCTCCCATAAGAGCAGATCCGAGTGGAGTAGGGTGGCCCCACGGCCATCGGCAACCAGGGTCGAGCAGGTTGTGCCAAGGCCAAGGCCAAGCCCTCTGGTTCTCATGAGCCTAAAGCATCTGGTGGGGCCCAGGGAAGCCAGCGGCTGCCTTCTCGAGGGTCCTTCCGCTCAAAACGTCTCCATGGGTCTGAGGCATCACCGGCGCTGGTTAGGAATGCAGAGTGCCAGGCTCGCTCCAGCCCTGCTCAGCCTCTCTCTGTACTTTTGCAGGATCCCCAGGTGATTCGAAGGGATGTCAACATGGGGAGGGGCTGTTGTTGTCACCGTGGGGCCCCTGGACGCCAGCCCCTGTGGCCCCTTCGTCCCCAGGCAGGAGCGCTGAGCAGGCTCAGGGTTCTGGCACCGGAGTCCTGGAGGTGTGTGCTCGGTGCCAACAAATCCTGGGTCATCGCTCACCGATGACATTATCTGAGGGCCACCGCGGCCAAGAACCGGCTCTCCATCCTTCAGGGGCAGTTTGACAGCAGACGCTGTCTGCTCCCCAGGGGCGGCGGGGGGGGCCGGGAAGGCGGCACCTTCCCCACTATTCCTCATCCACCTTCCCTGCTGCCCCATACACAGATAAAGCCCCCCTCCCCCGGAAGTGAGCCCTTCGAAGGACCAGCGTTCTGCTCTATTTCAAAGCACCTCCTCGTTAGGGGGAGGCAGAGGATTGTAAACTAAGCACATGGACACCTGGCCTGCCGTTGCCCTGCATCTTTCTAGGGATGTAACCTGCCCGGCTCCGTCGTTACTTAACTAAGCGACGCTCTGCCTCTGGAAGCCGGCTCCCGTCTGCTGTCCTGGGGCGGGCCGCCTGAACCGCACAGACAAGGGCGCGGCGCAGCAGAGGCGTGCCCAGCTGCCCTCCCCGCTGGACTTGACCCAGACCTTCCGGCTTACTCCAGCAAAGACCGCCCTTTGAGGGGACCCGGCTGGCCAGGTCCTGCTGCTGAAACAGGGAGGCCTGGCAGATGGGGATCACCGTTCACGCCGGTCTGTGGGGTTAGCCAACCCTCCCAGGCCAGGCCTTGGGCCACATGCAGGCAGGTGACACTTCCCTGTCCTCTTCATCCAAGGGGGACAGGGAGTCCTTAGTGACTGCCCCCTGCCACCCCAGGAACAGTCAGGGTCTTGGGCTTTGGAGTGACCGGGACGGAGCCACCTGCCTAGAAGACCCCAGAGTTCCCTAGAAGAAATGCAGCTCTCTGCTGGGACTCCACAGTGGGTCAGCTGACTGTCCCGTTGTGTCCTGGAGTCCCCCCAAGGAGGGACTGTGTGTCCGTGGGCCCTCCAGCCCTCGGCCTGCCTGGGCTGCTGCAGAAGCAAACAGCACCCCAGGGCACCAGCTGTGGGGGGGCCCCGTGTGCCCGAGGGGCTCCCAGGATGAGCCCCGCCCCCCGCCCCCAGGGCCCTGAAAGGGAGTGAACCTGAGGCGCCTGCAATGGCTGTCATCTAGCTTCTCCTACAGCTGTCGCGGAGAATTTTCATCAACACTGGACAGGGGAGAAGGGTCGGGGTCCCGCTGGAGACCGCGTGGGTGGGGCGCCTCAGCGCAGAGCCCGTCTCCAGCTTCCCGGCCGCAGCGGGATCTGATCAGAGCGACCTGCAGTGCATCAGGCTTGGTTTGCTGCACGTCCTGCCACCACGGGAGACAAGCAAGGGGGATTCCGCAAGTCTGCAGAATTCATCTCGATGCTGACTCCGTACACAGCCCCGTGAGTGGCAGCTCTGGTGGCCAACGTGAGAAAGGGCTGGGGGTGGGGACGCTTCACTTTCCACCAGGAGGACTCAAGGGCAGAATCAGCAGGCTATGGTAGGGCCCGAGCTACCTCGGCAGCACCGCAGGAAACAGCTCGACAGGAGCGGCTCCTTTCTCCCCAGACGGCACTGCCCTCACCCCGGTGGGTCGAGCACCCTGCATTTCGGCGGGGGGGGGGCAGGGGCCTCCGGGCAGCGGCAGCTCTGCAGGACGCAGGGTGCTGGCTGCACCGTGCAGGCCGAGGCTCGGGGCTGGGCTGCGGTCGCAGCTAGAACCTTCTGTGCTCAGGTGACAACCCCCGACTCTGACACTTAAAATGTGAGGGCTCGAGGGACCCTAGCACCATTCCCAGCTTATGTATGAGGCCACGGAGGCCCAGAGAGAGCGCGCCAACAGCCCAGCGGCGCTGGGCCAGACCCTGGGGGACGAGCACTGGACGAAGGCGGTGATGGCGAAGACCGGGGGCTTCGAAGCCAGACAGGCCTGGATGTGAGCGCTCCCACTCCTTTCTTTCTTTCCTTCACCCATTCATTCCGTCCCTCATTCCCCGAGTGCCTCTGCGCAAATGTCCCCTCCCCAGGGATGCCTTTCCGGACCACAGAATGGCAGCCCTCCGGGTCCCAGCCCCGCAGCCCACCCCGTGCGTGCTCTGTCTGCAGCAAGTACCACCCCTGGCCCGCCGATGTCCTTTCTTCCTTTAGTGCCTGGACCTCCTACAGGAGGGATGAATCCCACAAGAGGAAACACTCGGCTTACTTCCTGCACTGCTGCACCCCATGCACCTAGAACAGGGAAGGCAGGCACGGCCCACGGGTCTCCTCGCTCTGGGGCTCTCTCCACAATTTTAAAGGGGAGGTGGCGCCAGCAGCGACTGGGAACAACCCTCCCTCCTCACCTCACCCGCCGCCTGGGGTCCCTGTGCTGGCCAAGGCCAGCTTTCAGGCCCGCACACGGAATCCAACGTGCACGCAGCCAGTGACCCCGAAGCATGACCTGGGACAAGCACCAGGGTCAGCGAAGGACCCAGGAGGGGAGCCAGCCACGATCCAGGCATCAGAAGGTGCTGGGCATCAGAAGGTGCGAGCTGCTGGGCCCGACCCACCACCAACCAACCGCGCAAACTGGCAAACCGGCACGGCGGGCCTGACCTCTGGGGCCTCGGTTGCCCTGTGAGTGAAAGGGGGTGGTCTGGGTGGCCTCTGAGTCCCCTTCAGCTCTGCATCTGTCCAGGGAGTGCCCCCATGCGCCCGGGTGACAGGGAGGCCTGGCGTGCCCCAGGCTCTGGCTGCTGCAGGCTCTTGGGCCTGTCTGTCAGGCCACCCTCACCCGCGGACGGCGCGCTGGGGCGTCGTGGGGACACTTTGACAGCCGCCCCAGCTGTACTGGAATCCCCCCGGGGGTAGCTGGGCGGGTTGGGAGGTTGCTTTGGGGAGCAGCACGTGAGGTGCCGTTCCGTGGCATTCTCTGGCAGGGACGCGTCCATCGCTCCAAGCACCATGCGGAGGGGCTGGACAGCCAGGAAGCCTGTCACCTAGCAACCGTGCGGCTCACAGCTCAGAAAAGCGCACGTGAGGGGGGCAGGACTGAGCCGCCGAACTGTGCATCTTCCTAAAAAGAGAAGAAAAACACCGACTGGGAGGCAGACAGGGAAAAACATCTCCTGTCTGGGGGCGGAGGGCTTCTCGACAACTTTCCAAGCACAGCTCTCAGCCAGCACCTCAAGGGGTGCGGGCAGCTGCTCTCCCCAGACCAGGCTGAGCCGGAGCCCCTCCACCCCTCACAGCAGCCAGCGCCCTCTGAGCCGCCTGCTGGGGTCGAGGTGGGGGCTCTCCCTTGGGAAGGTCTTACTGTGTAACTCAAGGGAGCCTCTAATCGTCCAAGTCAGACCCCTAGGGAGCCGAGTGGAGAGGCCACGTCTTTGGGAAAGCAAGCAGCCAAGGTGGCCGCAGACCCCGAGCCCCAGGGGGCGGGCCTAGCCAGCTGCCCTCGGGTCTCTCTGCTCTGGAAAGAGCGCTCTGCATTTTTTTTAAAGATTTAATTAATTTATTTTTTTTAGAGAGGGAAGGGAGGGAGAAAGAGAGACAGAGACAGAAACATCAATGTGTGGTTGCTGGGGGTCATGGCCTGCAACCCAGGCATGTGCCCTGACTGGGAATCGAACCTGCGATGCTTTGGTTCGCAGCCCGCGGTCAATCCACTGAGCTACGCCAGCCAGGGCTGCATTTTTAAGTGCAAACCTCTGCATCAGGGAAGCCGAGCCGTGAACAGGCCCCAGACCCCAGGCCCTCAAAACAAGGGCCAGTCGGAGGCTGCCGTGGGCGAAGAAGGCAGCGGGGTCGGGGCCTCTCTCGGAGACCTTGCCGGCCCCCTGGCTTCCGCGTGACAAGCCGTGTCGGCCTCGACAAACTCCCCTAATTACCTCAGGGCCTTGGGGCTTCCACCGAGCCCAAACCAGGTCACCGTGATCAGAGACACAAATTGTCCTCCAAATTATTTTTAATTGTTTCGCTGAAACCTCGGGCAGTCACCTGGAGCACACTGCTGCTGGCAGGCCCTGGCCTCGACCGGGCGGCTGCCCGCCTTGCGTTTCCTGGCCCAGGACACCCAGGCGGGCGCGCGAGCACCGTTCCTGACCTCTCCGTCCTGCATCCTCCACCCAAAAGTCACCGAGGCCTGTCAGCGAGGCCCAATGGGCCCTCTTTCCCACCCGCCCCATCTCCGGTCCCGACCCCCCTCTGCTGGACGCTGAGCAGGCTCCCCGCGCACTTCTCCTCCAGGCCTTCGGGGGCAGCTCCCTGAAATGCCATGGGGCCCGGTGCCGACTAGCTGTGGCATTTACAGCTCCCCCCTGGACCCCCGCCTGCCCTCCACTCCCACCGCGTGAATCCCGCCCCATCCTCTGCCTC